GAGATAGTTTGCATTTTAGCTTTAAAACAATAAAATTAAAAGAAAAGAACTACCTTACCCAGGATCAGAGCTATTTCCTCCCACAAATTTGTTGCTCGCTGAAAGTCTTTATATTCCTTCATTGACGCGTCAAAAAGTTTTCTAATCTCCTCCATGAGACGCTTTTCAAGATTTGACTCCATTTCGTCCACAAATGACACCGATTCTCAACTTTATCACCTTGGTGTCGCACCCAGAACAGTAGCTACATGCCATTGTGCGTACCGCGGACGTGGACGTAAAAAATTGATCTCTGCACAGACCAGTCCGCGGATGTCCGCTTCAAGTCCGCATTGAGTCCGCCTCGAGTCCGCKCTGACCTCCGCGGACCGAAGTGCGCCCGAGTATGTGGGGGCCTTAACAGGTTCCAGAGCTGCAGTGAACTGAAAGCATTTGGCAGCTTTTAAAGATGAACACTTAATTTTGAGGATAGCTGACACAAGGACTTGGAATCGACGCAGATCACTTGGCGAGCCAGGCCTAGACCATAAACCGCTACAGCCTCAGAATCAGTTCAGCTCAGCCCCTCCTGACAGCAACAGAGACATGTGTGAGCACTCCATCTCCAGGCAAGAAAAATATTCTCCAGTACTGCAACTGCTGTTACCTGGAATTTAACTTTAGTATTTATGACTGTTTATGTTTTGTATCTTAAATGCTTTTATTCTATTCATACTGTGAAACATTTTCGCCTTGCCTACACCTGATRCACTTTGCTTTGGACATGGTAATAAATGTGTACATTGTGTTTCCATGCAGGGTGTCCCTGCAGAAGATGGACTGCACACAGACACCCTGACTGCAACATCAGGGAAGACTCCCACACAGATGGACTCAAAGAGTGTTGTCCTCCAAAACACCAGGATTACTGCAGGGAAAGCTAACACTGTGGATATCAGCTTTGTGCCAAAAACGGTACTTTTATTCAGAGCTCTATAAAGTACTAAGTAAAAGTAAAATTACATGAACAGAAAATGACTTTGGCAAAAATAAACTTCACTGATGATAAAACTACTCAAGTAAAAGTCATAAAACTGTTCACAAAAATTGGGAAAGTAAACATAAAAGTACTTTTACACACTCTCTAAGAAATAAACTGTTGAATTTATTGAACCAAACATTTTCCACTAAGCCAGTTGAGTAAATTAAGCAATATGTGTAAATTATTTGCTCAGTTTACTCAACAAGGCTTAGTGGAGCCAGTTGATATGACTTTGTTAAAGGGATCCCCGATTAGTTGTAACATTAGACTTTATTTAATAAACATATATTTTAACTGTAAAGTAAAGACTGTAAAAATACTGTAGGATGT